TTGTAGGTCCACTAAAGAAAGCAGCCCTCTTTGTAGATGAGGTTGGGTGGCCCTCGTCATTGTCTTCTACTTGGCTTGGTGGAGCCAGGGATTCTAATGTTTCTTGACTGAATGGAAGAATGAAATGGGACACCACATGTGAAGTGCCTCGTCCAGGGACAGCTTTAATAAGTAGTAGTTATTAATATTGAACCTCTTAGGATGTGTGTTTATTACTCACAGCTCAAGTGGCTCAAATATTAGCATAAGATGATATGTTTTTAACCTCAAAGTAGTAAATTATCTGTGCTTTTACTTTTAAAGGCCAATCGCTTGATTTTTGAAGTATCTTTATCATGTTTAGGGCATTTTAAACTAAGACTTCAGTATCTGTCAGACTTAAAAAATGTGATATTTCGTGGAGATAACCTAGAACCCCTGCACAGATGTAGCCCATGGCAGTTCAGTGTCCAAGTGGGTTACATAGTAATGGAAAGAGGGACTGCCTCTGACATAATCTGATTGGCCTGCTCGTTGATCACCTCCCCCTGAGGGGGGAGCAGCCTTACCAGGCCACAGTAGAGGACAATGCAGCCACTTTTGATGAGAACTAATAGACTAAGATCAGAAAGGAGAGGAGAACCTCCCCTATCAGTGGACTTGGGGAGTGGCATGCATGCAGAAAGGGGAGGGAGGGTGGGATCGGGAGGGGAGGAAGGAGGGGCTTATGGGGGGATATAAAATGAATAAAGTGTAATTAATAAAAAATTAAAAAAAATAAAAATAAAAGTTCACATAAAAAAATTACCTTCTATTACTTGTAGAACTTTGAAAATGTTCTTCAATATTATGGTGTTTCCAATTGTAGCCTAAAATATAGTACCAGAAAATATATATTATTGGAAATATCATATTATTATTAAGGAAAAACTTAAATCACTATCTTCTGTGGAAAAAAAAATGTGATATTTGGCTACGGCAGTTTGTTTTGGGGCAGTGAGTCAGTCCTCCGAGGGAAACAGTTTAAGTTATTCACACACACTCAATGAATGAATCATGCAAAGAAATGTGAGTTGCTGTACTTAAGGAATTTGTAGTGGGCTGAAAAAAAATAGCCCTACATCTGGAAAGTTAGGAAAAATGTGAATTACTATTTTTTTTTAATTTAGTCTCCTTTTTACATAGTTTGCTTTTCCTTTCCTGAGAGAGAGAACATGAAAGCATGCACATGCATTTTCAGACTGAATCTCAATCCAGACTGTTTTCAAACTTGCCCTTCAATGCCTTTTGATAGTCTTACCTCCACCCCCCAAGTGCTGAATTGCAGGTGTAAGCCAGCACACCTCTCCTAAGTATGTATTTTGTTCACAGCAGATATGCTCCTTTTGGTCTGCTTTGGGGATTCAGTCCATGGGCTCCTTTTAGAAGTTCAGCATTACACACAGTAGCAGAGTAACTTGATTAATTCAGTTAGAATATCATGGCACAGTTCGCTTCCCATTCTCTTGATGCTGCTGTTAGATATTTCAGTGTACGGAACACCAACGAATGCCATTTGTTTCCTTCCTCACTGTTGACAGTGAGGTTAATTTCTGTTTCCTAATTTTTCTTTTCTAAAACTAATTCAGAGCCTTGCTCATCTTATTTCTCAAGTATTTTGGCACACTATTTTGAAGGGGTGTGGGGAAAGTTTGCAGAGAGCTGGGGTGTATTAGTGAGTTACGCTTGGAACTGTTCACCACAGCTTTGTGCAAAGAATAGCGGAAAGACTCAGCAGCTGGCTTTTCTCTTAAAATCAAAGCCTTTCACCCTTTCAAAGAGTTTAGGTATAACTTTATACAATAGGACAAGAGGAGCTAGAATTATTAAACACGTGAAAAAATTTTCGAAAAATTCTTGCTTGCTAATTCTCCAAGAACAGTGTTGGCCATTGTACAAGTGAAGAAAACTTTTGAGCAGGTGAATTCTGTGTCATCTACATGTGTCCCCTATGTTTTTCTTTAAATGATACTGTTCTTTTGCTACTGTGGATCTTGGGTTTTCTTGCCTTCTGTTGAAATAAAGATAGCTTTTAGATGTGAAAGGGAAGCCATTTTTACAGAGCTTGGTCATGACCCATTGACATTTGCAGGTCATAAGGTTAATAAGTTTTGGAGAACAGGGGTTTTTACCTGTCGGCCTTCAATATATTGGATGAAAGTTAATAGTTTTAAGTTTATGTTATAGTGTCTTGATAAGAATTCTATAAATTTAAAGAACATGGGCAAAAACAACCATTCTATTAAAAGTAAATCTATTTGTTAGCAGGAGAAATAACAGCTAATGAGAGTTCAGAGTTACTTAATTGTATTCATCTGATTGTTTCAGTACTCCTAAGTTCAAAGGTTTCAGAGCAAGGCCATAAGACAGCAGCCTATTCATGGACCAAAGGGTGTTCTGATCTCCTGTCATTGCTGTGATCCAGATTCTGTTTTGTTTTCTTTCAGTGTTGAAAGTTAATGATTTTGATTCAAGCAGCTTCTTTTTGTTATTAGGTGAATGCTTATTTAAAAGCTTCTATGCTGCTGTCATTCCACTTTTCCCTCTTCAGATATTATTTTCTCATATCCTTTAAGTAGTAACCTCAGTAGAAGAGTGCTTTTGAAGAAATCATTATGCTTTAGTAGTACTACATAGGAACAAGACAGGATTGTCTTAATTTCAGTCTTATTTTTTCTTTGCCTAACTATCCAATGAGAACTGTCTTACGGCATCTACCTTGAATTCATAGATGCAGAATTGTTTCAGATCACAATAAAACACATTTCATATGAAAATATAGCTCCTGCTTTTCTGAATTAAGGCTGTAAAAATTGGCAGTATCTAAATCTAGTCTAGTTAAAATTTTTAATTATGAATTTTTGTTAGAAGCGCTACTACATAACATTTTAAGATGAGAACTAATTTATTAATACCAAATTCACCCATCTTAAAATTTAAAATTTTGAATACAAAATAGCAAGTTGTAAAACTACATGGTAGTGTTTCTTTTTCTTTAAAAATATTTATATGAAAGATGTTTGTATGTATGTGAAGGTCTGTAAGCTAAATACTAAGGTATTTGTAGTAGTTGATTTATTTTACATATTTCTGCACTTTGTTTTGTAAAAGGAAGTCAGGAAAAAGGTGAACTTAAAAGAAGTCAGTAGTAAATATTAAGTGAAATTAATGTTGAAAAGTATTCCCCCCAAAAAGTAGCTTTCTAAGCCTTGAGAGCCATTTTAATGGATTACTTTTAGAGAACTATAGAATGTACCCATATAGGACAAAATGATTTAATGGGTCCTAACAGTCTAATAGTCAGGTAAATTTAACAGCATTATAGGAAAAGAAATAGTATATTTGAGTAAAAAGTCTGAAGGTATGAAAAAGTAAACTGATTCTGTACCTGCAATTACATTAATTTCTTAGTATGTTAATTAACGTGATCACTGTAGAAACCAAAAAACAATTCAGTGTAAATATCATGATATAATTTGCATTCCATTTTCTCTGCGAGTATAAGTTGTTAGATATTGCAACATATGTAACATAAGCCACAAGTCAGCTGTTTCCTGCCTCACTGTTGACAAGGGCCCCATTCATAACTCTTCTTTTATCCTTTCAGTGAATAAGTAATTATTCAATATAGAAGGCAGGATATTTGGAACTGGCTATTTAATGTGGCAGCACTCTGTAATGAAATCTGCTGTTACTGGCAACCCGAGAGGGGAAGGTAACAATTCCAGCATGACTGTAACTTTATCTGCTTTGACTGAATGTTTATTTGGCACATCAGTGAACCTTTTATCCCAGTGAGTGACAGCTCTAGAAGGGTCACATTTACACCCATTCTATCATGTATTGTAATATTTAATGGTGGACAAGGTTGAGTGAGAGTAGGAGTAATTTGAACTTGCTTTTCCACTGAACTGAGGCTAAAAGACAGCTTGATCTCCAGCACTGTGGTGTAACATACTATGACTTATCATTTGTTTATGAAGGCTAATCTTACTGATTACAATTTTTTTAATGCAGTAAGTAGAGTATTTGTTCTACAAAACCGAATCTTTCCAATGTAAATTCTTTTAAATGATTGTGCTGCTTGCCTTTTTCCCTATCAGTGCCTGTTTTACAGCATTTCTCTTATATGAGGCTTCATCTGTCTCATTTGGTGGAGGAATGGGAGCTTTAAAGGGAGCGTTAGTTAAGAATCTGTGAGTTTATATAGTATTAAACTTGTAAAAAAATTGGAGGGTGGGGACAGAATTTGGAGGCAAGAATTAAAATCAGGTAAAATTTAGACTGTATTTAAAAAGACTTTTACATTATTTAATTTATGATACTGAATTACTAGTGAGCTTGTCCAGGATGAGCTATTTTGGTAACAGTTTTTCTGGTGGGTTTTCATTTCATACATGTAACTGGACTTCAGACATACTTGCTCCATGCAAGCACCCTGGTTTCAGTTTCTGTTAAATGTCGATATTTTTGCATTCATTTTCATGCCTTTGCTAGAGGATAATTTTCTTTACTTATTTTGTAGTGGTGCTTAATACTCAATGTGTTATGTCTATTCTTTTGTTGACCACATTTCAAATGCTTTTTTAAAAACATGTAGAATATTTGAGCTGTGCTGTGAGAAAAATTATCAGTTCTGTAATATCACAAGCTCAAAGGAGAACTAAGACAGATGAGATGATGATCCAATCTGTCATAACATTTAAAAAATATAATTTTTTAAAGAGAAGAGTTAAAATATATTTTAAACATTTGGAATTGAAGCATGATTGTGATATGTCAGAGAGAATGTAACTGTGGAAACATTGTTTATAACCCTGAGAAGATAGGGGACTGCCTTGTGTGTGGGCACAGTTTCGTCAATGATGAATTTAGAGACTGTAGTATCTGAAGCTTCTTGGACCTTTGCGATTCATTCTTAGGGATGTTACAACCTTTGCTGTGGCGGCCCAGTCAGTTTCTGTTTTCCTTCCTTGTTTCAGCCTGATGGCCTCTGTTCCAGGTGTTCTTGTTCTGCTAAACAAGGAAACAATGAAGAGTCTGCAAATACTATTAAGAAAGATCACGGGGTACAATCCAAGAGACCCAAAATTTACTTTGGGACACGCACACACAAGCAGATTGCTCAGATTACCAGAGAGCTCCGTAAGACAGCTTACTCGGGCGTCCCGATGAGTATTCTTTCCAGCAGGGATCATACCTGTGTCCATCCCGAAGTGGTGGGGAACTTCAACAGAAACGAGAAGTGCATGGAGTTGCTGGATGGCAAAAACGTGAGTGAGATTACTTACTTTGCCATGAGAAAATCTCAATTCACATTTAAAGTGATAGATTTTGGTTTTAAAGCTTATAGATATTAATTTCTGTTCTATTCAGGTGTAATCTTTTTCTTTTAAATTCATTTATTCCCAAAATAATTGAACATAGGTGATATCAGATGAGGGGATAAAAATGTTTTAAGAATATTACCTAACTAGAGTTAATCATCATATTTTGTATATTTGAAAAACTCAAAGATTGTTTAAGCAAATTTGAAATTTTTAACATTGAAATACATGATTTTTCTAATTTATAATTCTAATTAGTACAAATCTTTTTTTCAAAAAGTTATATAAGATTATTAAATTTCAAAAAATGTCATACATGGTCTTAAATTTTTCTAGGAAGATTGGAGTGCATTGCATTTAGGATAGATAGAACGAGATAAGACATGCTTTTGTAAGTTTCACTTTAATACTGGGCAGTATCATTTTGGGAGTCAATATTTGACATAGCTAATTTGCTTAAAAATTGAAGTTATAAGTATGAGATTATACTCAGATATTAAGTGAACCAGTATGTAAAGTGGGCAATGGTAGTATATTTTGAAAATTTTTTGCCTCAGAGTTGACTCTACACAAAAGACTATGAGTAAAAGTTCCACGAGTTTTGTTTCATTGATGGATCACCTCCTACTACATAATATGAATAAATTATGCTTTATTGTTCTTTCGGTGTTTTATTTGAACAGGTAAGAGTTTACTCTTTTATTTTTTGGCCTGTTGAAGACGTTTTCTAATTGCTACTTAGCTTCATATAGAAGAGGAGACTGTACAGCATACGAGGTTCAGTGGACAAGCTTGAGAGCCTTGTTCAGAATAAGGGAAAGAATATAGAATTATTCAGTCAAAATCACTGTTGATTTGTCGTATTTGATGCCATGTAAGTTCTTCGTCATAAGCTAAGAATTGTGTGGGATCTCTTCACTGTTTATGTTTTCAAGATACTCAAGAAAAGGTTTTTGTGATGAAACTACAAATACCATGATTAAGTAAATCTTTTCTCATGAGTTGTAGATGGCTCTGCTAAACTCAAGTATTGGCTGCCATTGTCATATATTTTTAACGTTTTTTTCACTTGTTCTTGACAAATTATTATACATTTGTAGGATGGACATAAGTTAAATTGGTGAAAGCAATTAAAAAATTTAAGGCAAATAGTCTTTTGTATAATATTCTAGAATCCTGCAATACTATTTGCATTTGATCTTTATTCTCATAAGTTTGAATTATGTAAAAATAATTTGGTAGGCTTCAATGCTCAGAATTTTTCATTGGCCTGAAATGAAGAAGTATTTTGTTTTTGAATATTAGTGATATAGGTAAGCAAAGATAGTTGTGGCTTGCTAGATCCTAGCTCCTTGTCAGACTGCTTACCTCCTGGGTATACAAGAGCATTCTCTTTCTTGTTCCCAAGCCTTCAGAGTAATTTGGTATTGTAATGAGGGCCAATTACAAAGTCACCATAGGTGTCAGTGTTTACTCTGGCTGATTTACCAAAGTGGGATGATAAATAGATAGCTGACATTGAGTGAAAAGAGTGTAAAGTGTGATAACACCCCAGCCGACAGACTCCCTTCTGGGTTCTGTTACATGGCTGAAAGGGATGAGCGCCTGGCGTCACTATCGAACTGCACAGAGCTGTCTTTCTAGGAGCCCTTACAGTGTAAACTGATTATTTGGCTTGATCTTGAGCCGCATGTGTTTTTGTTCACAGTTTCTTTTAAAGTGCCTCCATACTGGAAAGATAGGCACCTGTCTGTTAAAATTATTATTATTGTTGTTTCAATTAAGAAAAGAAAATTAAGTTGAGCCAGAAATGCCAATTCTTTAAAAATGTTTTAAATATAGACTGTCTTGTTTTTTTAAAAAGTTCAAATGAAGCAGTTGGAGATATGGCTCAGAGGTTAAGAGCACTTGTTGTTCTTTCAGAGAATCAGGGCTCAACTTCCAACATCCACGTGGCAGCTTACCACTGTTTGTAACTCCAGTTTTTCGGAATCTAATATCCTCTGTGGGCACGAGACACGCATGTGGTGCACACACACATGCAGGCAACACACACTGGGTGTAAAATAAAAATAAACAAATCTCTAAATCCCAGGCCCCCTGGAGGTTTATGCTGGAAGATTGCAAATTTGAGGCTGGCCAGGGCTACATAAGAAGATACTGCTTTTCCTTTACCCCCAAAAGAAAAGAAATGAAGTACATGGATAAGAGTCAAAGCCAGCCCAAGATGAGAAGCCCTGTCATCGGCTTCCTCTGCCCTCTGCCCTTCAGGAAACCACTGTAAAGCTGTATGTGTGTTTTGCCAGAACATTTCAAAAAATATTATTTATAAGCAAGAATGTTTTATACAAACTTAATCATTCTTTACATATTCAATGCCTATTTTTCTCACCATTTCAGAGAACCTAACAAATAGCCTACGTACTTAAGAGGGTATATCATTTGGGTTGTTTGTTTTGAGACAGGATCTCATTATGTAGCTTTGGCTGTCCTGGAACTCATATCTGTAGACCAGGCTGGCCCACTTAAAGAGATCTGCCTGCCTCTGCCTCCTGAGTGCCTAGATTAAAGGTGTGTACTTACCATACCTGGCCTTAAAAGGGTATATCTTTTGTATAAACTTGCTTACGTGTCTGTTGTTGGTCAGAGAAATTGAGTTTTGTTACAGTTGTGTGAGTGTGTGTGTGTGTGTGTGTGTGTGTGTGTGTGTGCTATTAAACTGTGCCCTGTCTAGTCACATTGATGATAAAAATTAGAATTTTGCACATTTGGCAAATTGCTCATTTTTCAAATCATTTATTACTCAAAGTTTAAACTTTTGTTAAATGTTTTTTTGGTAATGTGACTATTTTATACATTTTATTTATTTACTCATCTAATTAATGAACTTATTTATTTTAGTTGGGAAATATTGCTGTGAAGCTCAGGTAGATCTTAAACTTAAACTCTCCTACTGCCTCAGGCTCTCAAGTGCTTGGATTACAAGTTCCTGCCACCATGCTAGGCTAATTTTATACATTTTCAATTTCTCTTTTAAATTTATGTGTCTGTGATGAGCCTGCACACACACTACATGTATGTAGGAGTCATTCAGGGCATCAGATGCCCTGAAACTGGAGTTAAAATGATTGTGAGTTGCCATGTGTGTGCTGTGAACCACACCCAGGTCTTCTGCAAGAGCAGTAAGTGTTCTTAACCACTGAGGCATCTCTCTTGCCACCAGTTTTATAGAGTTTATATTAACATATGACATGTTCATAGTTGGAGTAAATTGTTAGAGATTCATTCATTCATTCATTCATTCATTCATTCATTCATTCATTCACTTTACATCCCAGTCGTAGCTCCCTCTGTCCTTTCCTCCCAGCTCCCAGTCCCATACTCCCTCCATCTTTCTCCTATCCCCCCTCCCCTACTCCTCAGAAAAGGGGACACCTCTCACCAACCACTCCAGCACATCATGTCACATCAGGACTGAGCACATCCTCTTCTCCTGTGGCCTGGTAAGGCAGCCCCGCCAGGGGGAGTGATCAAAAAAGCCACAGAGTCCATGTCAGAGACAGTCCCCTTCCCTTTACTTGGGGAGCCACATGAAGCCCAAGATGCCCATGGGCTACATCTGTGTAGGAAGCCTAGGTCCAGTTCATGCATGGTCCTTGGGTGGTACTTCAGTCTCTAAAGCCTCCCCTGGGCCCTGGTTAGTTGGCACTGGTAGTCTTCTTGTAGAGCTCCTGTCTCCCTTCTATTCTTCCCACCATTCTTCCACAAGACTCCCTGTGCTCCGCCCAACGTTTGGCTATAAGTCTCAGCATCTGTGTCAATTTGCTGCTGGGTGAAGCTTCTCGGGAGACAGCTAGGCTAGGCTCCTGTCTGCAGGCATAGCAGAGTATCATTAATAGTGTCAGGGGTTGGCCTTCTCTCATGGGGTGGGTCTCAGGTTGGGCCAGGCATTGGTTGCACATTAATTCAATCACTAGACAGGATTCCTAGTGGAGGGAAGGGATCACTAACCCACCCACAAAAGCTTCAACCCAAAATTTACCCTGCCTACAAGATGTGCAGGAATAAAAATAAAGCTTTCTTTCTTTATTAATACTTGTGATAAAGTTTGGTTTTTATCTTAATACTGTGTCATTTTATAGAGATGTAACTTTCTGTACATATGTATAGAAGATGTTAATAGTATGTGTTTTGAATAATATAATTTGGAATTTTGGGGGTACTCATATTTTATGAATTTTTTTTGTAGTTATCCTTCTTTATTTTTTCCCTCAAGGTAGTCCTTTCTTCCTTTTTCTTCTCCTCTCCCTTCCTTGTTTCCTTACTTCCATTATTGTCACATGGCTTAAATTTGAAAAGGGACAAGAGCGTCAGCAGTAATTTTCTCACTATGCCCTTCGCCTAGTTCTGTTAGATTTTGTTTTTAGGTTTGTTTTTCCAGACGGGGTTTCTCTGTGTAGCCCTGACTGTCCTAGAACTTGATTTGTAGACCAGTGTGGCATTGAAATCAGAGACCCGCCTGCCCCTCTTGCCTCCAGAGTGCTGGGATTTAAAGGCGTGCACTACCACTGCCCAGAATCCTAATTCTGTTCTAAAAGCAACAAGAGATGCCATTGCTTTGTTCCAGAAATGCTTTATGGCTAATGTGCAGCTACATCAACCAATTTAAGAATGTTTTTCTCAAAGTTCATTTTGTATTTAGAGTTCGTTCTCCTTCTGAGTCAATTATAATTTCTTTAAACGGTTTTGAATATGGCATCTAATTCCAGCTATATGAGGCAGGAGAATCACTTGTGCCCAGGAGTTCAGGGTCAATATGGGTAACATAGTGAGGTCCCTGTGCTTTGGCAGGGAGATATGGTTCTGATTATAACTATGAAAGTATTGGTTTTCTCTACAAACTATTAGCTTTTGGTTTTAGTATTGTTTTTTGAGATAATCTTATTTTATTCCTTTAATTATGCCTGTTTCCAGGAAAAATCCTGCTATTTTTATCATGGTGTTCATAAAATTGGTAATCAACAGACACTGCAATTTCTCCATGGGATGTCCAGAGCCTGGGACATAGAAGAACTCGTCAGCCTCGGGAGGAGGCTGAAGGCTTGCCCCTACTACACAGCTCGAGAACTGATAGATGACGCTGACATAATATTTTGTCCTTACAACTACCTGTTAGATGCACAAATAAGGGAAAGTGTGAGTATATATAAAAATTAGAACTTACTAGTCACTGAGACAAAAGTGATAACTATAAAAGCTTTTGGATGTTTTATGTCCTTTTTTCTTTGTTTTGTGTTTGTGTAAACAGAGTACCAAAAAACATGTTCAAAGGCAAATTAAGAGGTGACTTTTAAACCCAGTTATTTTAATTTCCGAAGTATTAAACAGTTAAGGTTCTGACTGAAACCCAACGGTACTGTGTTCCTCAGGCTTCACAAAGTCACCCAGGGCTGGAGCAGTCTTGATGTGCTGGGCTGTCTGAGCTTTGTGATGTTTAGTGGCGTCTCTGGTTTTATCTCTGAGATGCCAATAGGATCCTCACAGTTCCTACCATCGGAGATATCTGTAGACACTGCCAAATGTCCAACTGTCCCCTGTGGAACTAAATTGTCCCCATTTAAGACCATTATATAGCCATTGTTCTCTCCATTGATGAAATTAAGTTTTCTTTGTGTTTTGAGGCAGGGTTTCTTTGTGTAGCCCTGGCTGTCCTGGAACTCTGTAGAACAGGCTGGACCCAAAATCAGAGGTCCACCTGCCTCTGCCTCCCAAGTCGTGAGGTTAAAGGCGTGCACTCCTAACCACATGGCAGAGTTAAGAATTATTTGAAAAGCGTTTCTCTGGGGGCGGGGGGAGAATAACTGTCTTGAAGAAGTTATGTTAGAATATGTTCTGTAAAAGTCATGCTTTGTGAATTTTTTAAGTAATGAACTTTAAATTTTATTTGTTTGCCTGGTTCTTACAGAGATCAAGCTTGCAATAGCCTAAGACGAAGAGTAAGCAATCTGGTGTAGTTGGTTACTGCTTTTTTTAGGTTGTTTAGCTGTGACTGTGCAGTTCACATTAGCTTTCTACTCTTTTTTTTTTTCTTTTTTTTCTGAATCAAGGTTTTGTTTTCACTTTGAGACATAGTTTCATGTAACTCATATTAGCCTTGAACTTGCTATGTAGCTGATCATCCTGATCATCCTGCCTCTTCTGCCCAGGTGCTGGGCTTGCGGGTGGTGGCCACCACACCCAGCTCTTGTGGTGCTAGGACTCTACCCGCTGAATCGTGGCTTCAGTTCCAGCTTCTGAAGTTCGGAATTAATAGGCATTTAAATTTTTGATATTTTACTTCATCCTTTATTTTATGTGTATTAGTTTGCCTGAGTGTATGCCTATGCAACACATGTCTGAGGTGTCCACAGGCCAAAAGAGGGTGTTGGATCCCCACGAACTGAAGTGACAGACAGTTCTGAGCCCTCGTGTGAGTGTTGGGAATTAACACAGATCTTCTGGAAGGGCTGCTTTTATTCACAGAGCTTTCTCTCCAGCCTCAATAAGTCATTTTATTTACTGCCATACCACTATCCTCTGGTGCTATACCTTTCATTGGTTAGCTCTTAATTAGGATATCAGATATAATGATGTTAGTGAGGGTAGTCTTTATGTTACTTTTATTCTATCATTCCCCTACTTGAAAATGTGTTTCTCTGTTTACTCTGGGATAGAGTCCATATTTAGGCTTCTTTTTCAAGATACTCAATAGTCTGGCATAGAACTGCCTTTTCAGCTTTTACTAAAATTCTCAATCTGAGTGTCCCTTACAGCTCCCCAGAGATCCCGGTGTTTCTGCTTTGAATTACGCCCGCGAAAGTGCTGTGCTTTGCTCCTGTCCTACATGGCGCCCTTGCCCTTGAAGTGTGGTCTGTTTCTGTCCTTCCATAGTTCTTTCACAGTCACTACCAGACCTCTGTATGTTATCACTTTCTCGGAGTAATTTATTGGCAGTTACGTTAATAAAATTTTCTTGTTTCATTACTCAGGATTTTCAATTGCAAGTTATACACGCCTAACTTGAAAAAAGCTTAAAAGAAATAGTCGGCTTTCTCTTCATGATGATGGCTTTGTTCTTAGGAAGTCCTTTTCTTGTGGGACCAGGGACAACCACAAGCAATTAGCTAATCTGCAGGAAAGAACATGCGCTTGCATTAATCCCCTCCGGTTGCTCTGCTTGGCCCAGCTTGGATGATAAATCCACTCCTGTGTTGGATCCAGTCTGACCACAGAGGATTGGAATACTTTAACTGTTGAGCCTGGTTCTGAGCTTTACTTTATTTTACCCTTAAGGTGAGAGACGTGATGTCATTTGAGTTGCAAATTAGCAGTCTTAACCAGTGTCATGCTGGAGAAGAAGAATGTTTAAAATGAAGTGTCTCCAGGCATAGTGGTACACGCCTTGAGGCAGAGGTAGGTGGGTCTCTGTGGGTTCGAGGCCAGCCTGGTCTGCAAAGTGAGTCCAGGACAGCCAGGGCTCTTGTTACACAGAGAAAAACCCGTCTCAAACAAACAAAAAGGGTTGAAGGTCAGGTAAAAATGAGACTGATGTGTACTGCATTACACTATGTTAGATTTTTTTTTGGACTCATTGAATCTGCATTCTTGTTTCTTTTCTAAAGGTTTTCTATTCAGGGACAGGGATGCAGCTGATTTCTTAAAGTGCTTGCACTGCAAGCATGAAGCACAGAGCTTCAGGACGACATAAAAAAAGTGTTTGATAATCAGTGTTGAAATTGGGCTGAAGGTTTCTTTATTGTACAGTTGTATATTCTCTGTGTAGCCAGTGGTGCCTTGACCGTGCTCAGTTGAATGGCACATTTTCATCGAGAGCTTGGTTGCCAAGTGTCTTTAGAGGGAGAAGTGGTGGGCTCTGTGCTCTAGAGCTATGTCTGCTGGAATTTAGTTCTTTAGGTTTTAGGGCTTGGGTGTCAGTTCCCTAATGGAAAGTGCACAAGCAATATTGGCCTATGTTGTGACTTTTCAAACGAAATCTTGCCTGCTGCTATTAAATCCATTTTGTTAAATGTTTTAATAGAAATATTTTTTTTATCTTACAGATGGATATAAAGCTGAAAGAACAAGTTGTCATTTTAGATGAAGCTCATAACATTGAAGAGTGTGCTCGGGAATCAGCAAGCTACAGTGTAACAGAAGTTCAACTTAGGTTTGCTCGGGATGAGCTAGATAGTTTGGTCAACAGTAACATAAGGAAGAAAAACCATGAGCCGCTACGAGATGTGTGCTATAACCTCATTAAGTAAGAATTTTTGTCTCTCAGTGTGTTATCTTTTTATATTAAAGACATGTTTTATTATGTCAGGGTTTCTTGTCATTGTTGTTGTTGGTGGTAGTTTTTGGAGATAGGGTTTTTCTGTGTAGCCCTGGCTGTCCTGACCACTCTTTGTAGACCAGGCTGGCCTCCAGCTCACAGAGATCCTCCTGCCTCTGCCTCTGCCTCCTGACTGCTGGGATTAAAGGTATGTGCCTGGTATGTCAGGATATTTTAAACTTAGTAAACTCAAGGGGCTTAAGAGGGGACTCGGTAGCTAAGAGGGCCTCATACTTGTGCAAACCCACACTAGAGCAACTAAGCCATCCCTCCCACCATCTTATTCCTTGAATTCCTTTTTTTTTTTTTTTTCTTAAAGATTTATTTATTTATTTATTCATCCATTTATTTATATGAGTGCTCTGTTTTCACGTACACCAGAAAAGGGAATCACAATCTATTACAGGTGGTTGTGAGCCACCATGTGGTTGCTGGGAACTGAACTCAGGACCTGTGGAAGGGCAGCCAGTGCTCTTAACCGCTGAGCCATCTCTCCAGCCCATTCCTTGTATTCTTTATGTTTGATTTTGGATTAGTTTCTGGCTGTTGTAAGATCCTTCACTTGTTACCAAAGTTTTGACAACTTCCATAATTAGTTTGTTGACCTCCATATGGGGTTGCAGCTCATTCTGAGCGTTGCAAGGTTAAGTATTATCAATAGTACTGCTGAGGCCTAAATATGGGTCTCTGGTCCTGACCTTACCCTGGAGTATGATGTCCAGTATATTTCAAATTTAAACCCAGGATAAAATTCCTCTGTTTCCTCTATCTACTGTTTCCTCACCCTCCATATTCAGTCTTTCTCATCTAAGGAAACAGCTACCAGCTCCTTAAAACAAACACTAATTATTGTCTGTGGTCACTGCTTCAGCTCATCATCCAGTTAGGCATTGAGTGTATCCCAAATCCATCTGTGTTTTTCTCTGTCAGTGGTTTTAGTGTGACCAGCGATCTAGAATATTGTGATAGCTTCCTAACATGACTACTTTCATTCTTTTCTTTCTTCTGTAATCCTTTCTGCCTTTGAAGGTGAAATCATCCTTAAACACTTAAAATACTCACTTCCTTATTTAAAACTTTATTTCAAACTTTGGGTAAAAACCAAATTTCTTATCCTTGCTCTATAGACAGTGTGATCCCAGTTTCTCCCTGTAACGTTGTTTGTACCCTTATCTAGTATTGCCCATTGTGATAACCTACTGGTTTTCTTTCAGGCCCTCAAAGGAGCAAAGCTTGTTAACTTTGCACCAGTTATTCCTTCTGTTTTAAAACTTTTTTTTTTTTTCATCCTGCCTGGGACTAGCAGTTTTTCTGTATTCAGTTGTTGGGCAATCACTTCTGGGAGAGTATCACAGACATTCAGATTAACGTAGCCACCGAGTGGTGATTAGCTTCATTTTCATGTGTCACTACTTTCCCCTGTGGTGCCTCATGAATGCCAAGCTTGGGTGTCAGTTCCCATTCTGCCCCTGAGCGCTGTCTTTGGCCCTGATGTTTCCTTTCTTAAGTATTTGTTTATGTGTTTATTTCTGACTCCCTTTAGTAGACCTGAATTTCCATAAGAATAAGGATTTTACTTGCTTCGTGTACTGTAATAACTTCCACTTGGATCTTTGGTATAAAATTGGCATTCAAGCATTTATTAAGTGAGTGTATATATATCAATAAATATACTTATATATTTTTAAGTCATTCTTTTGTTGCTAAATATTTGTTTTGCATTTATTTTTATGTGACTTTATCTGAACATTTCATGCCTGGTTGTTAGATGTAAGTAAAGCAGTGTAAATCCACAACAACAACAACAAAAAACAAACCCACAATTGTTTTCTTCTTAATAAAATTTTTTATGTTTATGTAAATGCTTATTTTACAGTATGAAATGCACATTGTTTGGAGGTGTATTATTAATCCATTCTTGTGTCCTAACAGTTCTCCAGTTCTGTTGAAGTAATACATCTGAGGATGACAATGGTTGATAAAATTGTTTTATTTTATTTCAGTTGGTTAGAAACAAATTCTGAACATCTTGTAGAAAGGAGCTATGAATCATCTTGTAAAATATGGAGTGGAAATGAAATGCTCCTAAACTTACACAAAATGGGCATCACCACTGCTACTTTTCCCATTCTGCAGGTAAGATCTTTTTCCCTACCCATGACATTCATGTAGTCAGCTAGATGTCATTTAGGAGTGAGGAAAACCATAACATTCAGTAAAAAGTCCAGAATTTAAAAAAAATAATAACACTTTAAAAATTGTTTTAAAATTTTCTTGTCTACATCTGAGTGTCTTTAGGTGATGACACATGCTCTTTGATCACTTCCGCCTGGCAGGTCTGCCTTGCTAGGTCTCCGAGGAAGATGTGCTGAGTCCTGATGTGACTTGTTGTCCTGGGGTGGGTTGGTGGGGAGTGTTCTTCTTTTCTGAGGGGTAAGGGAGACGGGGGAGATGGAGGAAGGGTGGGGCCGGGAGGAAAGGACGGAAAGGGATACAATTGGGAGGTAAAGTGGATAAGTAAATTAATTTTTTAAAAAGGGGGAAAAAAAAGAAATGAATGCTCGAAAGCATTAAAGAAATTTATGGTACTATTTTTTAAAAGAGAGAAGAAAAACCAACCAAAACAAACAGAAAACCTGATCTGACCAAAAGCAAGTTGAGGAGAAATGACTTCCTTGGCTTACATTTTCTAGGTCATGCAGAGTTCATTGAGGGAAGCCAAGGCAGGGACCTGGAGGCAGAGCTGAGGCAGAGGCCATGGAGGAATGCTGGGAATTTTTATGGCTTACTCAGTTGGCTTTCTTACACCTCCTGGGACCACCTGCCTAGGGGGGTACCACCTGGTAGTGAGCTGGGCACACCCACATCGAGTCGTTACTCAAGAAAATACATCCCAGATGTCATTTATAACACATGGAATTGGTATATAGTAGTTCTCCTTTGGTTTAAAGTTATTTCACTTAGCATAATATCTTCCAGTTTCATATATTTTGTTACAAAATGGAAGGACTCCTTTAATTTTTTATTTTTTAGTTATTTTATTTTTTTGAGACTATAATTACATCATTTCTGCCTTTCCTTTTTTTTGCTCCAGAAGTCTCCTTGCTCTCTTAAAAATTTATGGCTCTCTGTGGCAGGTTCCTAACTTGTTTCCTGTTTTCTTCTTCTTCTGATGTCCATCCTCTTTTCCTTTCAGGATGGGGATTGAGCATTTTAGTCATTTTAGTCAGGGCCCTCCCTCTTGATTAGTTTCTTTAGATGTACAGATTTTAGTAGGTTTATCCTATATTATATGTCTATATGAGTGAGTATATACCATGTGTGTCTTTCTGCTTCTGGAACAGCTGGATGATCCTTTCCAGTTCCCACCATTTACCTGCAAATTTCATGATTTCCCTATTTTTCATTGCTGAGTAATATTCCATTGTGTAGATGTACCACAATTTCTGTATCCATTTTTCAGTTGAGGGGCATCTAGGTTGTTTCCAGCTTCTGGCTATTACAAATAAGGCTGCTACAAACATGGTTGAGCAAATGTCCTTGTTGTGTACTTGAGCCTCTTGGATATATGCCTAGGAGTGGTATTGCTGGATCTTGAGGAAGCGCTGTTCCTAGTTGTCTAAGAAAGCACCAGATTGATTTCCAGAGTGGTTGTACAAGTTTACATTCCCACCAGCAGTGGAGAAGGGTTCCCTTTTCTCCACAATCTCTCCAGCATGTGTTGTCACTTGAGTTTTTGATCTTGGCCATTCCAAAAAAAAATTATGGCATTACTTTTTCTTAATTGCATTTGGTATTGGATAATTAGGTGTCCTCCCCCAGGGAAGACTGTTCTGTGCATTTTGCCCACCGTTCTTTGTGTAAGGCTGCAGCTTCTGTTGTCTCCATCCATATTAGCATGTCCATTGTCCTTCTTTAGTTCTTTTTTTAGGCTGTCACATAGGTGAGGCCTTATGGGTGTAGCCTGCAACACAAAATCTCACAGCGAATTCCTGTTCCTCCTGCTTTTACATTCTTTCCACCCCTCTTCTGCAGTGGTCCCTGAGCCTTGGGTGCAGGAGTTGTATTGTAGATGTAGCCCTTGGGACTGGGCTCCACAACTCTGCGTTTTGACCTGTTGTGGTTTTCTGTGATGGTCTCTGAATGAAAGAGATGTTTTCTTGAAGCCGCGTGAGCTCTACATTTAATGGTTAAACCCAGGAGAGGGATGTCAGGAAGGGTTCTTTTTGTTATTTAAGATTTATTTATTTTTATTTTGTATGTGAGTGTTTTCCTGTGTGTATATATGTGTATTGCGTGCATGCCTGTTGCCGGTGGAGGTAAGAAGAGGGCATGGATTCCCCTGGAACTGAAATTACAGACAGTTGTGAGCTGCCATGTGGGTGCTAGGAACTGAACCTAGGTCTTCAAGAAGAGCAGCCAGTGTTCTTAACCACTGAGCCATGCCTCCAGCCTTGATTCTTTTTTAAGCCTAAATAACATATATATGTATATGTTGTATATATTTTGTTTTTCATTTTGGAAAATGTGGTTTTATTTATGTAGTATAGTCCAGCCTTGAACTTGCTGGATGCCCATTGATTACCATGAACTCTTTACCATTCTGCCTTTATCTTCTAGGTGCTAGGAAAGCAAGCATGCACTACAGCATCCAGTTTTAATGTGTTTTATTTCGTGTTTCTTCATTCCATTCATCACTTACCATATTCTTTTCCTCGTGGAAAGATTTGTAGGCCAAGATTCTTAGGTCAAGAGTAAAATGGTTGATAGCAACCTGTGCTTATTCTTCAGTACATCTGTTCTTAGATGTTTATTTTCTTCTTTTATTGTTTCCTTAAATTATTTAAATTTTACTTATCAGTCCTGGGGTATGGCTCAGTAGAATCCCTACCTAGTATCCTTGTTTTGTTTTGTTTGTTTGTTTGTTTGTTTATTTGAGACAGGGTTCCTCTGTGTAACAGCCCTGGCTGCCCCAGAACTTGCTCTGTAGACCAGGCTGGCCTTGAACTCACAGAGATCCATCTGCCTCTGCCTCCTGGGTACTTGGATTAAAGGCACGTGCTACTATACCTGGCCCTATCTAATGTTCTTGTAGACCTAGATTCATCTACCAAAACAACAGCAACCAAAGTGGATGTTAATTCATTTTGTTTATCATATGGTAGCCTCATTACCAGAGTTATTTCCTATATATAATTCAGGCATTAAGGAAAGCAAACTTTATCAAAAATCAATTGGTGCTTTTTAAATTTAGTTCATTGCTTCTGAAAGGTACTACATAGCACACCAGTTGCCTGAAGAGGTTATCCTCTTAAATGTCTCACCCAGAGGAGCATTTGCTAACATGGAAATCCAAGCTCCTTTGCTGGGTTTGGGTTGTAGGTCAGTTACAGCATGCCCAGAGTGCATGAGGCCCAGGGGTTTCATCCTAACTACTGTGATAGGCAAGAATAGAAATGCAAAGTGACTTGGGTTTTTCCATTCATGTGTACCTGCTTCGTTTTGGCTTGTATTTATGCTTTGCAAAGACTTTTCCTTCTGTCACTCTATTACCCCCTTTATGAATATATGAATAACACGGTGATTTCTTACAGAGACATCTTTCAGCTGTTCTTCAAAAAGAAGAGAAAGTCACATCAATCCATGGTTCAGAGGAGGCAATACAACTGCCTATTATTAGTGCTTCAACTCAAATAATGCTGAAAGGACTCTTTATGGTCCTTGACTATCTCTTTAGAGAAAATAGCAGGTGAGTGAAGATGCCTGTTCTGGTTTTGTTTTTAGCTAACAGCTCAGCAAGATGGCTCAGCAGGTAAAGGTGCCTTTTGTACAAGCCTGGCAACCAGAGTTCCATCCGCAGAGCCACATAGAGCTAGAAGGAGAGAACCAGTTCCTCAAGGCTGCACGTGCATGCTGTAGTATGTATGCACACTCAATAATAAGTAAAATTTTAAAAAATCAGCCTAATGTATGCTGTTTCTAACTTAGCAGGGAAATCTTAAATGTTATAGTTGCGTAGCTGTTTATATAGATTGTTCTTACTGACACAGATTTGGGTCAGTTGAAATGCATCTTTTTTCTCATTAGTGAAATTAATTGAAATCAGTAAGTGTAGTTATTCTTAACCTTTCTTTAGCTTTAACTCCAGTGCTTAGTTTAAGCATTATCGTTTTCTTTTAAGTACTATAATTTGGATCTGTTCTGTGTCTATTGTTATTCCAAAGTCCTTTTCTCGTATGTTTGGCTTATTTTTATTTAAGGTAGGATGTATATATCCCAGGCTGGCCTCAAAGTCATTATGCAGCAGACGGTGGATGATCTTGAACAACTGGTTCTCCTGCCTTCACCTCCCCAGTGCTGGAATTACAGGCCTGTGTCACTGTGCCCAGCTTCTCTCTTGAAGCTTAGAGTTCTGCCAACTTCCAGGATTTTTGACTGTTTTAAAAATTATGTTATCCTGTCAAATACACATGAAACTACCGTCTAAAGCAATGCCATTGGTACCCTGCAGTGTGCATTCATCACCTCCATTCATTTCCAGGAAGTTCTGTCATCCCAAACAAGGATTTTACGCATGTAAAGCATTCCCATTGTTACTGTTCCTAGTAATTTCTCCTTTCATGCTTGTTCTTTGTAATGATTTCAGACAAGAGCATGCGTACAAAGTTCCTCTCTTTGTGTCTGACTTAACTTCATTTAGCGTGATTTTTTTTCAGGGCTCCTCTGTGTGCAGCATACATCAAACTTTATTCCTTTTTATGGCTGAATAATATTCTATACAAATATGCCACATTTTTGTTAATCTTTTTTTAATCATTAGGCATTTGGGTGTTTCTGCCTTTTTCCTACTATTTGTAATGCTGCTACGAAGATTTGTGCGCAGATATCTGCTTGAGTCTGCTTTCATTTCCTCTGGATGGGTGTGTTTTACTTGGCAGTGGGACTGAGATCCATGTGGCAGTCCTGCTTAACTTTGTGAGGACTGCCATGGTGTTTTGCACAGCAGCTGTGCCATTTGACCTTTCCAGTGTCTAAGGTTCTGACTTCTCCATATCCTTGCTCATCCATTCTTTTGTTCTGGGCATTTAAAAAAATTAATAATGATCCTAGTGGCTATCAAGGGAGTCTTCCTCATGGTTTTAATGTGTATTTCCCGTTGTCTAACGATCCTGTAACTCTTTGTGTACCTGTTGGCCAATTGTGTGTCTTCTTTGTAAAAATAAATCTACTCACAGTCTGTCTGTTGTCCATTTTTAAAAGACTTGTTTCTTTTAATTGTCAGTTTGTGTAGTTATCCATACAATTGGGATATTAATCCTCTGTCAGATACAGTTCATTCTCATTGTGTTGTGAGTCATCTTTTTTAGATCTTGATTGTGTCTTTTTATTTGTGGAGGATTTGGTGTTACTGTGTTGCCGAGGCTTTCCTAAGACTTTCCACTGTCCTGTGTTAGCCTCCTGAGCTAACACATTGTATATGTGAGAACCACCCAACTGAGCACAGCTTTTGTAGTTATGAAATCTAATTTACTTATCTTCCTCATTTTAAATGTATCTTAGAGTTTTATAATTTTGGGATTTGAGCAATTTATAAAATTCTTTTCACAATTACTGAGAACCTGACTTGAACTGAGAGGTCTGATCTCTCTGGAGGTGAAATTAGGGGTGAAATGCAGTGAGAACATAACTGAGAAAAACACATTTTGTTCTGAGTAAGCCTAGGCATTTAATAGATTCTTAGGGACAAATTGGAATGGGATCATATACACTCCGGTTCCGTAACCTCATGGAAAGAAACTCAAGATGAAGACTGAGGATGATGGCTTAGCAAGTAAAGGTGCTTGCCATCAAGACTGAAGAGCCAGGTTTGATCCCTGAAACCCACATGGTAGAACTGTGGCTCTTGTAAGGTGTCCTCAGACCTCTGTGTGAGTGAGTGCCTTGGCATTTGTGCCACCTGGAACGGGCATGCCTCCACAGTTTTTAAGTTTTATAGTTACTTGCTAATACTTTTTAAACATTCACTAAAACTACCTATTTTCTCACACAGTAAAAAAAAAAAAAACATAACTTGTCCTTGACTTTCTTTAGCCATAATTTCTGTTTTACCTAGTAACTGTAACAGTTAAGCAGTGGAGGGTTCCAAGACCTGGCACTGGAAGTCAGCTGAGTCCTGGTTCTGCCATGGTTTATATCGTGTTTAAGATGAAATTGTAAAGAGGCTAAAAGGCTAGCTGATTAGGTAATTTTTAATATTTCTTGTAAAATTTTAAATTTTGTGATTTCATGGCTTAATTTACATCACAATTACTGAATTAACTAGTAATGAGGACAGCATTTTCTTTGCGTAGGAAGGCATGGCACTGTTGAGTTTTATGGTTATGAGGTTTGATGTGTGTGAAGCTCGATCAGTATGTTTTATAATGTTTTGACATTCAGTTAACATTGTCTTTGCATTTAGATTTGCAGATGATTATAAAATTGCTATTCAACAGACTTACTCCTGGACAAATCAGATTGCTGTTCTTGATAAAAATGGGGTCTTGGCTCTACCAAAAAATAAGAAACATTCACGACAGAAAATTGGAGTTCATGTGCTAAACTTTTGGTGCTTAAATCCAGCTGTGGTAAGCTCACTCTGTCCCAACTGCAACTTATCTTGACCAGAACCAACAACTAAGGGACTGTTTGGCTTTTTAAGATGATCTCATCTGTCCGGTGTTTCCTTGTAGGCCTTTTCAGATATTAATGACAAAGTACGTACTATTGTTCTAACATCAGGAACGCTGTCACCCCTGAAATCCTTTTCATCTGAGCTTGGTGTTAAATTTAACATCCAACTAGAGGCTAACCATGTCATCAGTAACTCACAGGTGAGCTGCTCTGCTGTACCTTGTTGATTCTCTCAATCTTTTTACCTGAGTGTAATTCCATATAAATAAATGAAATACCATAAATTCTAATAAACAAACTCTGATAGGAAATTCACATTTTAGTTTTACAACAACAACAAAAAAATCTTGTCAGCTGCTTAACAGCATAACAGAGTCCGTGAAAGGAAATGCTGATGCTGCCCTGACAGCTTTATTGCTTTGGATTCAGTGACTGCTAAAGATTCCTTATTTGATTATGTTTTAGTTTTCCTATGGAATCTAAAAACAAAATATTTGTATTTCTGCTACAGTTCCTATTTGTAATTATCTGTTTCTCTTTTTTTTTATTAGACTGTGGTATATCCTTATTTCTTTATTCATTTTTAAAAATTCATGTTGTGGGTGTACCTTCGTGAGTTTTTGTGTGCTGTGTCCATGCAGATGCCTGCATGGGTTAGAAGAGGAGTCCTCGGAACTGGAGGTCCGAGCAGTTGTGAGCCAGACGATGTGGGCTGAGAACCAAGCTCAGGTCCTCTATAAGAGTAGCACATGGCCACCTCCACCCTTTTGTTTTGTTTTGTTTTGTTTAGACGCTGTCTTTTATGGCCCAGGTTAAAATCAGAGTTGCTCTGTAGGGAAGGTTGACTTTGAACTCCTGATCCTGCCACCATCTCTCAAAGGCTGAGCTTGTAGGTATGAGCCAGCACGTCTAGCTCTGTTTGTTTTTATGAAGTAATTTAAAGTGCTTAGCTACCTACTTAACATCATGCCTGTGTACCTAACATTGTAAAATGCTGGCTGTTTGTAAAAGTACAGGGGCTGGAGAGATGGCTCAGTGGTTAAGAGCACTGTCTCCTCTTCCAGAGGCCCCGGTTTAATTCCCAGCAACCACTTGGTGGCTCACAAACATCTATAGTGAGATCTGGTGCCCTCTTAAAAAGTATATGTACAGGTTTACTTGTGAGGATTTTTTTTTTTCAAGACAGAGTCTCTATTTAGACTTGGTTGTCCTGGAGTTATTCTGTAGACCAGGCTGGCCTCAAACTCACAGATCTGCCTGCCTCTGCCTCCTGAGTGCTGGGATTAAAGGGATGCGCCACCACGCCCAGCTTGTGGGAACATTTTTAGTTGCTTGAAAACAATATTGACATTTAGTGATTGAGACCCGTAGGTCCACGTGTCTGTGTAACTGAGGGTTTGCTCTCCAGTGTGCCAGCATGTGCCTGTTGAGGAGCATTGTTAGTGCTAGTGAAGAGAGTGCAGGCTCCACAGGTCACGCTGCCTTGGGTGGAAGCATGTTAGTGCAGGTTAACAAATCCAGTACGATTTTCTTCATAAGATTGGTAGTTTGTGCTCTAATTAATTATGTTTTCACCCTGAATACAAGGTCCATTTAACCCAGACTATCACTGAATCGTAATAATAATGGTTACAGTGTAGCTGAATAGTGTTTCAATATCAGCTTAAAAATTACTCTTCAATCTCAATAGTGATTTGAATATCCATGTAGAGTAAAACGACCATCTTAACGGTTTCAAGGGCACAGCTTAACATAATATATATCCACTTCTTGCACACGTAGTCTCAAGAACTTTTTCATTTTTAAGTGGAATCCTAAGGTTCTTGTCTTTGTGATTGGCTTTTTTTTTCTTTTTTTTTTTTACTTAGCATACTATTTTGAGGGCTTGTTAGTACTATAGATGATGTCCTCAATGTTCATCTGTGTAACAGGTATCAATTTTTTAATGCATAGTATATCACTGTATGACTATACCAAAATTTGTTTAATTATCTGTCTATCGACTTCCTTAACTTTTTCTTTGGAAAAATTATAAGTTTAAAGCCTGGAGAGAGAGCTCAGTAGTTAAAAGTTCTCACTGCTTTTGTAGAGGACCCAGGTTTAGTTCCCAGCATTTACATTGGGTGGATCACAGGTTCCTGTAACTACAGCTACAAATTGATCTCATACCTTGGCTTTCATGGAACCTGCACACAAATACATACAAAATTTAAAGTAGTAAAAATAAATGGTTTTAAAATTGTAAATTAAAAAAAGTATTAATTTATTTTTTTATATTTATCAATTGTTAACATTTAATGTTTGCTTCTCCTTTCCTTTATGTGTGTATATAGATGTCAATGGAGAGAGAAAATATATATTGTCCACAGAGAGGGTAGGAGGTGAGGTGCAGCCTATGTTAAGGGGGGAGTAATTACCTCAGGCAAACTAAGTTCATCAGAATGTGGGGGTTCAGTGTCCTCGGAATTGGTAGGACCCCTCCACACATCTCTATCCCAAGTAGGAGCTTGCTCTTTTCCGACTAATGCCCTCACTTTAACTGCCAACAGCCTTCCAGGATGGTTATATATGTGTTTCGTTACACCTACCAATCCTGTAATGAGGATGTGGGCTGGGTTCTGACAGCTGGAGCCCTATGGCTGAGGGAGGAAAGACTCCCCTCCAGACACACTTAGAAACCTTTCAGTTGTTTCTGCGCATCTGGAACCAGTTGATTTTTTTCACCAAACATATTATTTTACTTTGTCACATTATCCAGAGATGCTAGAAGCAATCAGCCAGCATCACTGTTTTCTTTTCTTTTCTTTTTCTTTTTTTTTTTTTTAACAAATTGTCAAAAGTTTTATGTGTGGAGTTACTAAATTCCTTGTTCCTTACAGGAGGTGAGTCCGGAGCATCAAACATGTTTACCTCAGTACATACCATGGACTTTTAGTGCTTTCCATGCAACCAACAGTCTCTAGTAACTGTAGCTTTCTTTTGCGTTGGTTAGCCAGCTTCAGATACCACCAACCCACCAGAGAAATTAATCTTTAAAATTCTGTTTCTCCAGAACTACTTTTAGTACTACAATCTGTGTTAGTCACGGTCTTCTAAAGGAACAAAATTGATATGAGTGAGCATGTTTTTAAAAGGAGGCTTGCAGATTGGCTTACAGATGTGGTCTGGGTACTGGGTAGTCTGACAATAGCTGTGTCGGACTGAGAGGCGGAGGATCCACATGGCTGGATCTCTTACTAGTGCCAATCTGGAGCTGAAGGGCTCAGGGGTTCTGGAGAGCTGCTGGTTTTAGGCCTACCTTAGAAGCCCAGGGAACCTGGTTTTAATATCAGGGAAGGAATGCCACAGCAGCAGGATAGATGACCTTGCTGACAAGAGTTAAGACAAACAGGCAAAACCCATTTTTTTTTTTTTTTTTTTTAAATCTGGGCTGCCACCAGAAGTTGCCATTCACATTTCTGATGGGTCTTCCTGCTTCAAATAAGCTGACCAAGCGAGTCATTTACAGGAGTGCCCAGCAGCTTGTAGTTTAGTTAATTCCAGATCTAGTCAAGTAGATAAGCAAGATTAACCATCATCTGTACAGTTTCTTAGATTCTGTATGTGTGCGTATTTTGCCTGCATGTGTAAGGATCCCACATGCCTGCAGAGGCCAAAAGAGGGCAGGGGATCCCCCTGGAACTGCAGTTGCTGGTGGTTATATCCTTGTAGTTACAGTGAGGACGACACTATTATTCAAAAGTTATAATAATTTAATTTTGGATCAGTACCAACCTGGTTGTATTCAATTAACTAAAAGTATTAAAGAAAATTTCTAGTTTTGAAATAAGTTGTGCTAACTTTGATTGTCCTTTTCTATAAGTCATTCCCAATTAAATATTAATTTCCCTTCTTTATTTAGACATAACTCTAATACTAAAATATTCATTTTTAGGTTTGGGTTGGTACGGTTGGCTCAGGCCCTAAGGGTCGGAATCTGTGCGCTACCTTCCAGCATACTGAAACGTTTGAGTTCCAGGATGAAGTGGGAATGCTTTTGTTATCTGTGTGCCAAACTGTGAGCCAAGGAATTTTGTGCTTTTTGCCATCATACAAGGTAAGGAATTGTTTATTGTTTTTTTTTTTTTTTTTAATTTTGCCTCTAGAAGAGATATAGGATTACCGTGATAAACTTTGTAGAGTGAGAAACAACAAGGTAATTATAATTCTTCCAGTATCGTGCTATTTATGGTGATGGTTGCCTGGTTGGTTTATTACTGCTTCACTTAAGATTCTAACATAACTTAAGAAAGATAAGACCCTTTTTGTTTTGCTGTTAAAACGTTAGTTATATAGGAGGACTGGTTATAATGTGGTTTTTATTCTTATAAGCAACTTGTTATTTTCATAGGTGAAGGAAAGAGGAGTGTTCTCTTCACTTCGGTAGTGAATCTAAGCAGCCTTTTCCGCATTTCTTTGCTTCATGCTTCTGGCCAGAAGTAATTGTAGTCCTTTCTCCTCCTGCCACTTTTTCACTCTGCTGGGGGTCAGCCCCTTTCATTGAGCTGTACCCCAGGCTTTCTGGGTGTAGGCCTTTTGATCTGGCATGAGTCTTTTGTCATCACCGTACAGTTGCGTCATGGTGGTTTAAGATCTATTGTTTTTGTTTTTTTGTTTTTTTCCCCCCCAAGTTCTTTCAGTGTCTGTATTTTGGTTGAAAAGCTTACTGTGTTTATATCTAAAGCATTTACTATTGAGAAAGGAGCTCTGCTTTTTTGTTTGTTTGTTTGTTTAATTTTTGATTAAGGGTCTCACTGTGTAGCCCTGACTATACTGAGCTCTGTAGACCAGGCTGGCCTCATACTCACAGAGATCTCTCTGTCTCTGCCTCTGCCTCTGCCCCTGTCCCTAGCTCTCTAGTGCTTGGATTAGGATGAGGTATTTAATTTTAATTGAGCATGTTAATTAGGTGAGCCAAAGGGAGCTTTTGATTGTTGGTCTTCAATACTTTGATATCAGGACCTTGGTAGTCAGCCCCAGGAGGGGGAGGTGGCCAAATAAGGGAATAGACCTTGGTGGCCATCTTTAGGAATATTATGTTTTTAGCAAGGCAGAGGGAATGGGGGAGAAGGGCAAGGCCTGCCAGATCTGTGTTTGGCCTGCTCAGGCCAGCTAGAGTCCCTTTAGTCATGAAGGCCTCTATATTTGGTTTTGGTCTTCTTGTGGTGCTAGTAATTGATCCCATGGACTTGTGGTAGGCAGGTGTCCACTGAGGCCCCACTTATCCTTTGAGGCAGGTTTTTGCACAAGTTGGCCTTCAACTTTTGATCCTCTTGTCTTTGCCTCCCAGGTGCTAGGATTACATGCATGAAGCCACCACATCTGGCCTCTTCTCTCTTCCTATCTTTTAAAACAAGTCCTAGAAAATAAGGCAAATGTGAATAGACTAGAATCTCTTTAGCAGTCTAGAGAAGGAGATATGTGCAGATAAGAGCGTGAAGTCAAAGCTGCAGTGGAAACCCCAGGATGTTAGGATGTTCAAAGAACAAAAATATTTGCCAAAGATAGCCAGTCATGTGGGTGTAATCAGCTCTGGCGAGACACCATATCATCTGTAGATACCTAGGTTTTGGGGCTGGAGTTGCCTAAAGCCTTCAGAGCTGGCATGACACCATGTGTCCCCAGGTACAGGACACGGAACTACAGATTTTAATGTTTGCCTTGCTAGGTTTCACAGTCCTGTTTGAGTCACATCCTTCCTTCCTATGCCCAAATTCCTTCTATATGTAGCGAATTTTAACTCAATGTTATGTGTGTTGATGGTATGGAACTTAGCTTTTAAAATTTGTATAGGCACTTGTAGCTAAGAGTTTGCCTTGACTCTCAGGGAAACTAAATTTGAATTTTTGAACAATGTTGGAACTGTTAAGACTCTGCAGTCCCTTGGGGATGAACTAATTGCATTTTGCGTTAGGACATGGCCATGAGCCTTTGAGGAATAGGAGTGGAATGTTATGATCCTAAAGTGAAATTCCCCTAAAGGCACGTGTCTTGAACACTTGGACTCCAGTTGGAGATGCAATTGTAGGTTTTGAAATATTAGGAGGTGGGGCCTACTAGGTTCCTCTGTCCCTGTCTCTGTTTCCTTTCAGCTTTCATGCCACACATTCCTATGACCCTGATGTTCTGCCCAAGTGCATGAGATCAAGCAGGCATGGATTAAACCCTCTGAAACTATAAACTATAACCCAAAATAATCCTTCCTTCCTTCCTTCCTTCCTCTTTCTTTCTTTCTTTCTTTCCTTCTTTCTTTCTTTCTTTCTTTCTTTCTTTCTTTCTTTCTTTCTTTCTTTCTTTCTTTCTTTCTTTCTTCTTCCTTTCTTTCTTTCTTCCTCTCAGCCGTTTTGATCACAGCTGGACAGGATAACTAGCAGAATCTTCTTTTAAAACATTTTCTGACAGTGTAAGTCCCAGCCATATAATTCACTCATTTAAAGTATAGCTAGAGAGCTAGCTTAGTGGTTAAGAGCGTGCTGCTTTTTTAAGTGACCTGGGTTCTGTCCCCAGCACCTAGATCAGGAGAAGATGATGCTCTCCTCTTGCCTGCATGTGGCCTTATGTGTTTGGATTCTTAGCATGTTTGCGGAGTTCTTTGTGGTAGAATGTCAGTGTGTTTTTAATGACTGAACAGTGCTTGTTCTTTCACCTTAAAAGACTGTAGCTATAGCACAGTAGTGAGCACTTGCCTAGTTTCAGTGTATTTGTATTTTGAATGTTAAATGTATCTACTGTAAATTACATATAGTTGGAATTTTAAAAAATCTCATTCTCCTAATCTCTGTTTTACAGGAGCATTTATTCAGTTTGCACACACTGTGATTACTAAGTGTGTATTGATAATATCATTTCCTACTTGTTTTCTTTGTGTCTAATGTTTCTTTTTCCCTTCTGTTCTTCCATTACTACTTTTTTTTTTTTTTTTAGTGTGCCAGGTAAGCTTTTCTTACTTTCTTTTTTTGTTTCATTTTGTTTGTTTGCTTGTTTTGAGACAGGGTTGTATTCCTGGCTGTCCTGGAACTCACTCTGTAGACCAGGCTGGCCTCAAACTCAGAGATCCACCTGCCTCTGCCTCCTGAGTGCTGGGATTAAAGGTGTGCGCACCATCACCATCTGGCTAAACCCTTGGTTTTGTTCTGTTTTTATTAGTGTGTGTGTGTGTGTGTGTGTGTGTGTGTGTGTGTGTGTGTGTTTGTCTGTCTGTCTGTCTGTGTCTGTCTCCTTCCTCTTAAATTTAATGATACATTTTATATTAATACTGATTTATTTTTAGTAATATGCAAAGGCTTTGATCCTACTTGCTGTGTTCTATCCCATTTACTTTATATTACTGCTGTAGAAATCCAGAGAAAAGTTGCAGACACTAAACTAAACTTACACTACTTTTTAAGTTTACATAAGTATTTATCTGTGCCAGTACTTTTAAATTCTTTTTTTTTTTTTTTTTTTTTTTTTTTTGAGACAGATTTTATTATGTAGCCCTGGCAGGCCTGGAGTTTATGAGGTAGATCAAGCTGGCCTTAAATTCTGAGAGCTCCACCTGCCTCTGCCTCCTGAGTGCTAGGATTGAAGGTGTGCACCGCCATGCCTGGCTGCTTTTTAATTCTCAGTGTGGGCTTGAGTTAGTCTGTAAAGGTTCTTGATCCAGGGTCTCATGTGTGCTGTAGGCTCCCAGGGAGCTGCTTATTCTTCGAGTCAGTGTCGTGGCTGTAACTCATAGCTGTTACACTGGAGCCCTGTTGGCAGCAGCAGGTAGGTAGGGTTAGGGAAGAGGAGCATCATCAGATCCTGGGCTGTGACCTTCCATGTGTTTCACAGTTCTTCACTGATCTTACTACATGAGACAGGACGTCTGGAGCTGGGTTTTAGGTAATTTTTCCTCCCTCACGCTGGGTGAAGCTCTTATAAAGTATTTCTTAGCAGTAACTGTCCTTAGTTATGGGGGGTGCTTTGAGCCTTTTTCAGAATGGTTACTTTCCCCTTTTCTTGCCAGGAACAAGAAGGTTTTTCTTGGCTCTTTATTGTCAGAGCTGTGGGGTTCCGGGAAGCAATGGCTTCAGAAATGTGAGAGCCTTCCCAGATTACAGCCCCTCAAGTCTCTTGCTTTCAGTCTACATTGTCTCCAACAGTCTCTCAAAATCATCTTTCAGTTGTTCCTGTCAGCCTATGGTTTCAGTTTATTGCTCCTACCAAACAAAGCTCCGCTGTAATTCTTTGTACGTGTCTTTTGGTTAGTTTCAGGATGCCAGTTAGCACTGTGACCTTAGTTCTCAGTTGAGTTACACAAAAAATTGTTGATTTTTAATTTGTTTTGCTTTTTCCTTGTTGTAAGGCAGGCACTGGTGACTTCCAAGCTTTTTATATATTGAAGCTGAACTTGTAAATCCTAATTTTATCTTTGGGGAACATACATTTATTTATTTATTTATTTATTTATTTATTTATTTTAGCTGAGTTTCATAATGTTCATATAGTTTACTTGAAAGATCAGACAAATACACTTCCTCAGGCTTCCACTTCCACTGCACACAGCGCAGTGACTAAATTTATCAATTGTACTGTCCTTTCAGTGGAGTTTAACACTGAACATACAACAAAGTCTGTATTAGGATTGCCTTCAGAGCTGTATATTATGGACTAGGATTGAAATATAAAGGAGGAATTATACTGACTTTCTGTTATTTTATAGCAAGCTACCACTAGCTTAGTACTTTAAAACAGTGTACCTCTGGACCAGGAGTCTGTGCATGGCATGGCTGTTTTCTGCGTAGTGTATCAAAAGTCCATGTATCAGAGGTCACCTGGGGCTAGAGTCTCATTAGAGGTTTGATCCGGAAAAGAATCACTTTCAAGAGGCCTCGGTATTTTGGCAAATTTTTCTTGTGGTTTGAGAACTGTAGTAGCCTACTTCAGGGGTGGTAGGGATCTTAGGGGCTGTTTTACCTGTTTTACACTTCTTCCTATCAGAAGACTTAATCTCTCAATTTAGAAAAGACTTGGCATAAGGCTTCACTGCTATGGTAATGAGAGTGATGAAAGTGAAATGCACTTTTGAGGTGT